GCAAAGGTTGCCTTTTTTAAAATTTGAAAAGTAAAAATATACCCATAGAAAATATGGAAAATACTGAAAAAAAAAATAGAGAAGACAATGGGGTGGTGAGGGCCTGGAAGGGGGGAGAAAGGGGGAGGGCTGGGAGAGGTTAATATGGGGAAAGGAGGACCTATGTAATACTTTCAACAATAAAGGTTAAAAGGAAAAAAAGAAAAAGAAGTAGAGAAATGAAGTTACCTATGGTTCCATCACCCATAAAGAACTATTGCTTACATTTTAATGTATTTCTTTCTCATCTTTTTTTATTTGTATTTAATTTCTTTGTATGTAATTTCTCCCCCCCCCCACTTATTATAAAATATCCTATAAGCTCTTCTCAAACATGATTTAAAAATAATAGCTGAATAATACAGTCTCTTGTAGATGATACATACTTTATAATTTATTCCACCAATCTCTACTCTTATAATACTGGGATAATCATTTTTGACATAAATCTGTGGTTATTGTCTATTTTCTTGATTTTATTTCTTAGATGTAGAATTATTAACTCAAATGGTATAAAGATATTTGCTTTATAATGTATACCACATAAATATTTCCTAAAAATACATGAAAAGTGAGCAAGACTACTGAGAATCAAAGAAATACAAGTAATGAGATAACACTCATAATGGCAAAGACTTAAAAGATTGACAATGCCCAATGTTGATGAAAATGAGGGGATATGTGTTCTTTTATAGATATGTTGGTAAGAGAACAAATAGGCCATTTAAAAGTATATATACAAATAATGCATGAAAACATTTTTTGTTGTTGCTAATCCTCACCTGAGGATATTTTTCCATTGAACTTTTAGAGAGAGTGGAAGGGAGGGGGGAAACAGAGAGAGAGAAACATCGATGTGAGAAAGACACATCAATTGGTTGCCTCCTGCACACACCCCAACCAGGCCTGGGGGTTGAGCCTGCAACCAAAATATGTGCCCTTGTCCAGAATCAACCCGGGACCCTTCAGTCTGTGGGCCGATGTTCTATCCGCTGAGCCAAACCAGCTAGGGCATGAAAACATTCTTCTAAAAATTCAATTAATACAGAAATATGCAGAGTAAAAATGGAAAGTTCTTCATCAGTCCCTCATCCTCACTCCCAAACAGTTGGTACATTTCTGGAGGGCATTTGGGCAACAAACAAAATGTTTAACATCTTTGACTCAGAATTTCCTTTTCTAGAAAGAAATCCTAAGGAAATGATAGGATAAGTTCCCACAGAGGTAGATAGAGAAGTGTTTCTCTCAATATGACTCTTACTCGTAAGAACAGCTAACAGTTATCAGCCATTTACTAGGTGCCAAGAACTATTCTAAAAACCTAACATCCGTTAACTCATTGGCTCCTCACAGAAACCCTGTGATATGGTAGGTATTATGGTTATTCCCATTTTATTGATGAGAACGCTGAGGTACAGAGAGGCCACAAAGCTAGTAAGTGGCCCTAAGGAATCAAGTCTAGGCAACCTGAGTCAGAGGCCCAGACTCTCAATCTTCATGCTATGCTGCCTCGACTGCTATAATAGTGAAAACACAGGAACAAATCTATCAAAGGGAGTTTATTTAATCAATTAGGGTACATCCATGCAATGCAATCTCATCAGCTTTCACAATGATGATGTAGACTGATATTTATTGACATGAAAGAGGAAAAAGTGAAGCTATAGAACTATGTATCTATAATTCCGTATTTTTGGCTTTTACAATTCATATAGTTATAAGAAATTATGTAAATTTATCTGCACACAGAGGAAGAAGTTTGGAAGAAAATGAACACCAAAATGTTTTCTGTGGTTTTTTTCTGGAAGGTGCATTATAGGCATCTTTCTTTTGCTCTTCATACATTTCTGTATTTGCAAAGTAAAACAATCCCATATTACTTTCATAATCTAAGAAGAGCAGGAAAGCTATCTTTAAAGGGCTGTGGCAATTGCTCCTTTTATCAGTGGATGGGAGAGGGCTGCTAGTTAATTTTCAAACAGAGAGCAGTGCTGCTTCACGCCACACCCAGATGAAGGGCTTTGGGCAGCACGCTTCCCCCAGCACAGAGGTTTCCTGTTTCTCAGCCCAGATGCAGAGTTGCCATGATAGTCCTACCAAGACGGGCACAGACACCTCTGGGTGCCCGACCGCAGTGGAGTCTGGCTGCATTTCCAGGTTCCGGCCTCGAGACATTCCTGCTGATTGTTACTAGTAGTTCTGGCTTCTGGAGCACACAGACTACATGGGACCTCAGAAGCCATACCTTAAATGCCCACAAGGGAGATCTGGCAAAGTGTGTGGGTCTACTCTCTTGCACATGTGTGGTCTCTCTCTCTTCCTCACTCTCTCTTGCACATGTTTGGTCTCTCTCGCTTCCTCCCTCTCTCTCTGTATTGACTTTGTTCCATGTAGGTGCTACATGAATCTGAAATAAAGTAGCTCTAATACGAGAAGTCAGTCTACTAGTAAATGAAGCACATACAGAACCATTAATTCAACGGAGTCAGCAAACATCTATTGGGCGACAGTTGGCAGCCAGGCACTACTTGGAGACAGAGGGAGCTCACAGTCTAAAGGGGAAGACATGTGGTCACGTTAGAGAGGTGGTGACATTGCAGTGCGTTTTAGAAGAGGAGTCGGGGTTTATCAGGGGGAAAGTGGCAGAAAGGCCTTCCAGGCCGAGGGAAGGGTAAGTGCAAAGACATGAGGCACGAATGAGTTTGGATGCTCGGGGAACACAAAGCCCAGGACAGCTCAACGTAAGTGAGTGTTGATGGCCGCCAGATGGGAGAAGGACTGGGGGGATGAGTGAAAAAGGGGAAAGGAATTAAGAAAAATTGCCAGTTATAAAATCAGTCATGGGAATGTAGAGTACCACTTAGGGGATATAGTCAATATTGTAATAACTATGTACGGTGTCAGAGGGCGCTTGACTTATCAGGGTGATCACCTCATAATGTATATAATCACTATGTTGTATACCTGAAACTAAAATAATATTGTATGTCAACTGTAATTTAAAATAAATTTATAAAAAAACATAGGTGAGTGTTGAGGGTAGTGACTCCAAAGATGTTAGATTAAACTTGGCAATAATAATTTCTTTAAGTTATATTAATTTGTCAAGTTATTTTTAAAAATTATTTTAAAATACATTTTTATTGATTTAGAGAGAGAGGAAGGGAGGGGGGAGAGAGAGAAACATCTATTGATTGCCTCCCATACGAACCCTGACCTGCAACCTGGGCGTGTGCCCTAACCAGGAATTGAACCCACAACTTTTTGGTTCATGAGACGATACTCAACCAGCTAAGCCACACAGGCCAGGCTCAAGTCATCTGTTTTTATGTTTGTAATTTACAAATGTCTTACTCAAAGCAAGAACCTTCTGGTAATTCTGACCCTAGAACCTGGCCTTCCAGCGGCATGCCCCCTCCCGCCCTCTGCCCCGGAGTGCGAAGTGACACTGCTCACAGGGAGCTTGTGTTGGGGTCTCTGCTAGGCGCCAGGAGGCTGTAGGTAGAGGCCACGGCCATGTCTACGGACGACGACGAGGACCCACTGGCTACAGAAGAGCTGAGATTTGCCTGAGGTGGAGAATTCCAAGGAAGCATTAGGATGAAGGTGGAAAGACAAAAGCAAACTCTCCTGACAGCATTTGTGCAAGAGGAACAAAGGAGAGGGGAAGTTTATAGAGGGGGGGAGAATCATTTACCTCTCCTAGGAAGGGAGGAATCTGCTTAACAAACAGAAAAGTCCTTTCACCTGCAGGGAGGTAGCTGAAGTGTGATTGCGCAAAAGATTTGGAATCAAAAGATTTGGAACTGAGAGCCACTCTCAGCTGGGAGAATTACACTGGCTCTCAAGTCCAGTGTGAGGTGCAATGAGGTAACATGTGCAAATGTTTCATAAACTCGAAGTGCCTCAGACCTGCTATCAGAAGCCTCCAGGTTAAAGCAAGTGTATCTTGAAACTTTGTGGGACTAAAACAGCCTAAGGCAGCCTTTCCTACAGCAGCTCCCTCCTTTCCCCCATGCCTTCATTTCCAATCCCTATTGTGCTTTTTCTCAACATGTCTCAGGACCTGAAAATAAACTGTTTATTCTCTCTCCCCTGCTAGACAGCCAGCTCTGCGGCTCTTGCTCACCACTGTCTCTCCAGGTGCCCAGAGAAGGCCTGATGCATGGGAGGCGCTTCATACGAAATAGCTGTTCAATGTCGAGCGCATGCAAATGAACGCAGCACCCGATTCTTCCAGGAGCGGTGCAGCTGGCTCTCAATTTTTGATTTGTTTCAAAGGCAGGTTCCCTGACCCAACACTGAGGGACTCTGATTTAGCAGAACTGGCTACTGAATTTGCTGTTTTTAACAAGTGCCAGATGACTCTGTTGCAGGTAGTCACTAAGAAAGTTACTCTGAATCGGACAGATCTTGTCTGGACTCCAGCCTGCCACTCACTAGCCGTATGACTTCACCAAGTAACTTCGTAACCTCTCTGAGCCGGTTTCCTTACCTGTAAAGTAGGCATGACCACATCCTCAGGGAGTTATGATAATTAAATCAGGTGATGGATGTGAAGGTTTTGGCATCATGTCAGTTATGCCGTAGGCTGTCATCGTTTTTTTAATTGCCATTCTTGTGTTATTGCTATGCCCTGGCAGAACTTCCTCCCTGGAGGACCACTCACTCTTGGGAATCCTCAAAGTGTGGGCCCAAACCGGCAGCACCACAGCGGCTGGGGGCTGGTGAGAGACACGGTCCCCGCCCCATGCAGACCTGGGGATCAGCATCCGCATTCTGACAGGGTCCCCAGGCGACCTGTGCACACATTCAAGTTCGAAAAGCACTGCTGAACGTCACATGTACCGCGTTCTTCCTGTCTTTAATTTCAGAGCCAGCCCGGGAGGTTCCGAAGCCCCAGTATCCCAGAGGCTGAAGCACCTCCAGCTGAGGACCTTAGGAGAAGGGATTCCCTCACGGAGCTTCAACCAAGCCCACAGCCTCCGAGCAAGTGAGTGTGGAGCAGGGGATGGATCCGAACGCTGGCTTGCTTCCTGCGCCATCCCGGGCCTGTCCCCAGCCAGCAGAACCCAGTATGGAAGGGAGGAGAAGCCCATCGCCCCGTGTGCAGGGCAGAGGCGCCTCCTTTCCCTGGAACCAGGTCTCCAATCCCAGCCTCACGGACCCGGACTGGTTTTGGGATGAGCACATCCAGGCAAAGAGGGCCCGCGTGGAGACCATCATCCGAGGCATGTGCCTCTCCCCTAACCCTCTGGTGCTCGGCGGTGCCCGAGCCAGGGACGGCCCCAGCTGCCCAGAGAAGGCCCGGGAGCGGAAGAGGAAGCAGGACCTTCCCATGCAGCAACCCCCCCTGAAACCAGGCCCTGCCGGGAGCCAGGGCAGCAGGAAAAGGGGCCCTCGCGTGAGAGAACAGCTTCGCCTGCTGAAGCAACAGCTGAGACGACTGCAGGAGCACATCCTGCAGGCCGAGCCCCGGGACCCTGCGCCTGGCCCCGGGAGTGCCCAGCGGAGGGATGGCTGTGGGCGGCCCGGGGCCATGGACAGTGGCCGCCACCAGGGTTCCAGTGGGGACCTCCCTGGGGTGGAAGAACACAGAGTGGCTGAGGTCGATCACCAGCCAGAGGAAGTCAGGTTCCTTCCTTCTGGGACACGCGCTTTGCTGGAGATCCTGAGGAAGGAACTGACGGGGGCAGTGTCCCAGGCCGTGGACTCAGTGTTGCAAAAGGTACTGCTGGACCCGCCAGGCCATCTGACTCAGCTGGGCCGAAGCTCCCAGGGGCTGGTGCCAGGGGGCAGAAGCGAGACTTCACCTGAGGGAGGTGCCTGTGAAAACCCCCTCCCGCTGGCCGCCTTGCCCAGGGGGACCCAGGCCCAGGCCCAGGCCCAGGCTGGGTGCCCACTGGGAAACTCATCACTGGCCAAGCCTCTAGACTCTCCTAGATTCCCTGTCTCCCCAAGAATGACCTCCAAACCCTGCCAAGGCCCCCCAGCAAACTGTGCCGTGACCGTGCCTTCCCGCATGCAGGAAAGTCAGATTCTTGGTCAGCTCCTGGGTCATGGACCCCCTAGTCACTGGAGCGGCCGTCTCCCCCAGGGCACATCTTCCCAAAGTCACTCCTCCCCGGAGTCTGGCCTGCGACCTTGGGGAGCTGTCAGACTGCGACCTTCGGTGTTGAGCCAGCAGCACCCCGTGCCCTTGGCTCCCACCTGTCTGGAGAAGCTGCCCTTTCTTCCCCCCATGAAGATGGAGCAGGGGGGCCTGCAGGCTGCCGCCGAGGTGCTCCCGTTCCCTTCAGTCCACATATCCTTTACCAGAAGGGGACGTTCTCCCGGTGACAGCCCGGAGAAGTGAACCCTGGGAGGCAGGGAAGTGGGGACAGAGAATTGCATGGCATAGGGGGGGGGGGGGGGGCTTTGCTTTTTTTTTTTTTTTAAATATATTTTATTGATTTTTTACAGAGAGGAAGGGGGAGGGAGAGAGAGTTAGAAACATCGATGAGAGAGAAACATTGATCAGCTGCCTCCTGCACACCCCCCACTGGGGATGTGCCCGCAACCAAGGTACATGCCCTTGACCGGAATCAAACCCGGGACCTTCAGTCCACAGGCCACGCTCTATCCGCTGAGCCAAACCGGTTAGGGCGGCTTTGCTTTCTTGATGGTCTTCTGCACGCTGCTTCTGGGCCTCCTCCCCTGTGGCTCATCGCTATTCGGCTCCCGAGAAAGTGGTGCCCACACTGGGGCTTAAGCCTGCTGGGAGGGAAGCTTCATTCTCCCTGGCGCATCAGATTCTACCACTACTCACTTAATGGCTTTGGGTCTGAAAGGATTTTGTTTTTAAACTCAAATGAGCTTCCAAAATATGGTAAGTACCCTATGGAAGGAAGAACTCCATACTTTGGTTGTCAGCTGCCTACACACCTCAGCAGAAAGGGCCAAAGGAATGACCTCACCTGAGGTTTGGCTCCCCCGGCCTCCTGGCTCTCCAGGCAAAAGGCCTGCACTGTCTAGATTGGCGCTCACCAACCTTTGGGACCTCGCGGACCACCAGTGATCCGCAGACCACCGGTTGGTGGCCACTGGTCTAGATAATTCATGAGGAAGATCTGAGGGCCCAGACACAGAGCCAGATGGGGAAGGAGACGTTTTCCTCCGGGACTAGACCTGAGGCAACTGGGAGGTGTAAGGAAGAGCGTCTCAGCTGCAGCTGAGAGGACTAAAGTGGGGTTGGGCATGTGGAGGGAGAGGAGACCCCTGAGGAAGGCTGAGGGGCCAGGCTGGTGTGCAGGGGTCTGGACCTTTTGCATCAGCTTTGCCACCTTTAGGCAGGCTCTTCTCTCTCTCTCTCTCTCTCTCTCTCTCTCTCTCTCTCTCTCTCTCTCTCATTCTTGTTCCGTCTCTCTCTCCCTCTCCCTCTTCCTCTCCTTAAATATGGAACGCTTCACAAATTTGCGTGTCATCCTTGTGCAGGGGCCACGCTAATCTTCTCTGTATCGTTCTGATTTAAGTATATGTGCTGCTGAAGAGAGCACTCCTCTCTTAAATAGTGTTTCCCAGAGTAGAGCTCCCTTCGGATATTAACAGTTGCTGACTTAGGGGGAAAAGTAGTTTCAGTAAATACTGGGTTAGTGTCTTTGCTGCAGGACTTCTCAGAGCCTTTAACATGCTGAAGTCCAATGTGAAGCTCTAAGAGGGGAATGTATGCAGTCCCACACTCATGTGACCAACAAGTATCTTGTAGGACTGAAGTTCCTGACAACACATTTTGGGGGGTTGCCTTTTTAAAGTGAGCTGAGCTCACGCTGCTGCTTCTCAAGGGCGGCCCTGAATCGAGTGTCCAGAGGTCAATGTGCCTGCAGTGTGAACAGTCTGGCAAGCTGTAGTAAGGGCGGCAGGATGGGGTGGGACCGGCTCATTGCCACACCAGGGCTGGCTCTTGTGTCCTGAATGCTATGCGCGCCCCCTGCTGGTCACAGATGCTGGGAACACCCCAAAGCTGGGTGCTGCCTGGTGCTTTCCAGGCAGGCAGTAGCAACAATAAAACCAATGCTAAGAACACGTCACCTGCCCCCACTGCCTTTGCAGGCAGCAGGGGATCTTGGAGCTACAGAGGTATTAGCATAGACAGACTTTCTTGTTAGGCGATCACCCTGTGAGAAAGGCTACCTGTCTGGTTAAGACTCCCTGTGAAGGTCAGGCAGTGGTGGAAGAAACTCAAGAACTCAGAACTCAGTCCCCAAAGATTCTCTGCTGTGCTTCCCTTGGGAGGGGCATGCTGATCTTCCCCAGCACCTACTGTGCGCCTGCCCTGCCCTGTGAAATGAGGATTGGGCTCAGAGAGCTTCAGGGCCCATGCGCTGGGCCTGGCTGCACAGGTGAGGTACTTGGCTACCTTTGGAATGCTTTGGAGCCCCCAGGCAGCATCCTGACCCCCCAAATATTCCCACATTCCAGCATTAGAGATTTACTCCTGTGCGTCATGAGAGCTACTTAAGAGCAAGATAACTCTGACCTTTAAAAGAACTTTCACATTCACGACATCCCCCTGAAATAGGTGAAGCAGGTGTGATTAGCAGCTAATAACGAGGTAGCATTTGCTGTGCACTTTCTCTGTGGCAGGCACTGCTGCCAGCATTTCCCACGTACGAGTCCACTACCACTGAGCTACATTCTGAAACTCGAAAAGCTCTGAAAATCCCTATGATTTCTTTTCCCTAAGGCTGATGGGAGCTTTGTTTTTGGTGGCAAACCTGGCCTGCTCTGATTGGAAGTTACTTACAGATCATCCCACTTAGTGTAGAAATCCATGTTGCTGTGGAAATATTAATGTATTGGATTACAGACGGCTGCCACAGCCTCTGCTGTGGGGTTAACTAACATATGGTACACAGACCAGATGACCTGCATGAAGGAACAGAATTCTGAAATCTGGCCTCCATCTGGCCAGTGTTTCAGATGAGAGGTTGTGGGCCCCAAGCATTCTAGTGGGCACGACAGTTAGACCCGGTATCTGAGAGTGGGGCAGAAAAGTGAACTTGCCCACAAAGTCCCAAGACAGACACGTGCAGAGCCAGGACTCAGACCCAGGATCTGACTGCCAAGCTGTCACCACTACATTCTACATTTAGAAATGGCCCAGAGAAGGTAAGTGGCTTGCCCAAACTCACACAGCTAGCTGGTGGCAAAATCAGTATCTGAAACTAGGTCTTTGGACTCCCAAGTCCAGGATTCTTTCCACAGCATGTGTGAACCTATGAGAAGAATAAGAAGTGCCCATGAGGCAGGCAGCAAGGGGCTTCAGGAAGCAGCCTGAGTGCCAGGCCAGCTAGAACTCTAATCGGTTGGTTTCCTTTGGCTACACCTGCATATCCTACTGAGGAGTCTTAAAGCTCTAGCTCCCGGACCCGAGAGCTCCCAGGTCCTCTGTGTAAAGCTTCTCACCCGGCCCTGGGACTGTCCTGGCAATGCCTAGTATTCCTGTGCAAAACACTTCGTTTCCCTCCCTCTCTAGGCAGTCATGTCACAGCTCCCTGCTCTTGTTAAAGGGGAAGGAATCTTGTTAAAGAGGAAGGACTGAGGTATGGGTTGGAAGACAGTTTCCCTAGTTGTGCGTGGATTAAGGTTGACCATTTAATCATTCACTCATTCCTTTATCTAACAAACATTTATTGAGCACCTACTATGTTCCTAGCACTGGGCTAGGCACGTGGAATACAAAGATGAAAACATAAGGTCCTTGCCCCCTGAGGAGCTCACAGTCTAAACAGGGAGACAAACATTCAGTGAAAATTCTAATAAGGTCATTGCTACAACAGAGGAATGTGCAAAGAGCCTGGGTAGCCCAGGGTAAGGACAGGAAATGGACAAGGAGAGGTTTCCCCGAGGAGGAAGCGGCTGAGCTGAGACAGGAAGGAGGAGGGACGTCCTTCCAGGTGGACCGAGAGCAGGTGCAGAGCAGCAGCTCAAGTTCCTTGAGGCAAAGTCAACAGTGACCTGCTACTGTCTGGTCCAGGGGTGGGCAAACTTTTTGACTCGAGGGCCACAATGGGTTCTTAAACAGGACCGGGGGGGCCAGAACAAAAGCATGGAAGGAGTGTTTGTGTGAACTAATATAAATTCAAAGTAAACATCATTACATAAAAGGGTACGGTCTTTTTTTTCAATAGTTTTATTCATTTCAAACGGCCGGATCCGGCCCGCGGGCCGTAGTTTGCCCACAGCTGGGTTAGACGCTTGTTGGCTTAAACGCTGCAAAGGCAATTATGAGAGTGAGAATGGGGACCATCGAGTTGACTCTTCTCATTTTACAGATGAGGAAACTGAGGCAGAAGGGAAAGGAAATCTTGGGGTTTTAAAATGGTTTATCTGGGAAAGAGCTGCCATCTCTTCCCATCCTATTCTGAAAGCACATGCAAAGTACAACAAACTTATTTACGCCACAGAACTTTTACACGTCAAGGGGGTTTTTAAATTCTGCAACTGTGCTGTCATATACGGTATTCAGCACCCGGGAAGAAACAGCTTACTGTGTCAGACTTGTCAGAGACACAGAAATGGAGCAAATACATGATTCAACCAAAATAAAAATAAAAACCATAAGGAACAGGACAACTAATTCACTGTTTGGATAATTTGCTGATATTATTTGATAAACTGGTGTTCATTTTCCTTGACCCGGGGATACATCCAGGAGGGTCTAAATCCTGGTCACTTGAAGAAGGCCAAACTAATGTTTTTCTTCACACGCTACCCCAGCTCCAGCCTCCTGAAGGTGTATTTCCCCGACGTCCAGGTAAGTCATCCTACTGAATGTCAGCTTCCACAACTCCGAGTGGCATTGGGGTCGCCCCGTGTGAGGTGTGAGGCAAGTGCCAGGCCATCATGTGCGCACCTTAGCTCCCTTAATGTTGGCCGAACTGGTGTGATTTCCAGGTCAGGGGTGAGACTTGGCTGAATAATCGTGAATAACTTTGAGCTAGGAAAGTTGAGCTTTTGAGCTGTAGATAAACCCAGAAGCACGTGGGGAGGAAGCGGGGGGCAGTGAGAAACATTAGTAAATGGGGTCTTTGGCCTAATGTTCTGTCTTTGCCGAGGACACTGTGAAAAAGACGGAATATACAGAGTCGGACACTGTTGAACTGGCATTCAAATAGCTGCGTTTCAAAGGGAGTGAGGTACATTCAGATCAAGTGTGACATCAAGGAAAATCAAGCTCTGATGGTTGGAACCAGACCTTGTCTGGTCCCTGAGAGCAGTGGTTCTCAACCTGTGGGTCGCGACCCCTTTGGGGGTCAAATGACCCTTTCACAGGGGTCATCTAAGACCATCAGAAAACACATATATAATTACATATTGTTTTTGTGATTAATCACTATGCTTTAATTATGTTCAATTTGTAACAGTGAAATTGGGGGTTACCATAACATGAGGAACTGTATTAAAGGGCCGCGGCATTAGGAAGGTTGAGAACCACTGCCATAGAATTTCTAAGGGCCTGCGTTTCCTTGGGTGTTGGGTTAGGGCTAATACTTTGTATCTATGTAATTCCTTTGCCTTTCCCATGTCTTTCCCTCATGTTGTTGCTTGGTTGATCCCTACACCAAGCTCTGATTTCCACTCATTCTGCAACTCCAAGTTGCTGATAAACTGCTCTCTGATCTGCACACTCACTCCTTCCCTTGGCCCCTTACCTGGCAGAAGGCTCTGGGGCTGCCATGCAATTGGCCCAGGCACAGCAGAAGCTGGTACCAAACTGGCTTTGACCCTGGACATTCCCAAAGTCACATGGCAAGCTTTTCATGGGTGAAAAACCTTCATAAATCTAGGACATCAAAAAACATTTTTTTTCTAGTGGGCACTACAGCTAATCCAGATTTTTTCTGTACATGACTGAATAGGCTTAGAAAATAGCCATGGCTGCTGCTACCGCTACTTCTTTTTTTGTTAATCCTCACCCGAGGAAATTTTTCCATTGATTTTTTATTTTATTATTTATTTATTTATTTTTAGGGAGAGTGGAAGAGGGGTGGGAAGGACAGAGAGAAACATCGATGTGAGAGAAACACATCGATTGGTTGCCTCCAACCAGGGCCAGGGCCCAAGGAGCCTGCAACCAAGGTACGTGCCTTTAACTGGAATCGAACCTGGGACCCTTTGGGCCACAGGCCGATGCTCTATCCACTGAGTCAAACTGGCTAGGGCAGTGGTCGGCAAACTGCGGCTCAGAAAACTGTGGCTCACGAGCCACATGCGGCTCTTTGGCCCCTCGAGTGTGGCTCTTCCACAAAATACCGACTTCTGCGCGTGGGCCACGAAGTTTCAATCGCACTGTACATGCGCACCCGCATGTGGTATTTTGTGGTATTTTGTGGAAGAGCCACACTCAAGGGGCCAAAGAGTCGCATGTGGCTCGTGAGCCTCAGCTTGCCGACCACGGGGCTAGGGCCATGACTTCTTTTTCAAAGGAGGCCCTTCTCATGTTGGCTGAAGCCATTCTGATTAATCTGCTGTTGAACTGGATGCTGACAGTTCTACCCCCGAGCACCTGGTGGTAAATGGCTGACGGATGGACCTTGTTGCTTGTGCAGTTCAACCGCTGCATCACCTCCCAGATGATCAAGTGGTTCAGCAACTTCCGAGAGTTCTATTACATCCAAATGGAGAAATCTGCCCGGCAGGCAATTTCAGATGGCGTCACAAATCCCAAAATGCTCGTGATTCTCCGCGACTCAGAGCTTTTTCGAGCTCTCAATATGCACTATAACAAGGGAAATGACTTTGAGGTAAGACCATGTACCTGGGGTCCCATGAGGTTGGAGTTTTAGAAAAGATCCCCTTCTGTGTGTCTGTCTACATCATTGAGAGCCAGGGCAGCCCGGGCTAACCTCTGTCCCATCTGCAAAGATTAGTTTCCATCGCTTCTCTTAGGCAACAGGTGGATGCTGCAAACTGAATAAGCAGAGGTCTGCCAGGTGTTATGCCACTTTAGGCTTAATCCTCCGTGATTATCAACTTAGAGGAGGCCCAGGACTAAATGCTGGGCTCAGTTGCAGCACCTAGACTTGGCCCAAGTTTTCTTTACAACAGTTTCTGTCCATCATTTGGTTCTTACCTTTATTCTCACTTGAACAGTTTTCTCTGTGGGCCTCCCACGGCAAGTCATCTCAAATCCTTTCTGGAAATAATGAACAAACGATATTCAAGCTTCTTAGTCCTGTGGTAGCACCTTAGAGGTAAGGCATCAGTAAAGGGAGAGCAAGTGGCCTAAGAGAACTCCGCATCCGGACACACGTTTCCCTGCGTGCAGCCGACAGCTCTGCAGGTGCCAGCTGTGTCTGGTCACCCGGCTCACTCGCCTCTTCTGACTTCTCACTTGACTGTGATCACAATGAGCAGTGTGTTGATACCTCCGGGAAAGGGAAGACTCGCTGGCATGTGCTGGTCAGGTGCTCCATCCGAACATGTTTGCAACTAAGCTGGCCTGTGGGTAAAACGGACTGTACCGCCTGAGGCGCGTGGGGTCAGGATGTGTGGGGCAGGCAGTGCTGCTGCATCTCCCCAGGTGGGGCGGTCGCTTGGCATGCAGTGTGGCAAGCCCGGGCCAGGCTGGGTCGGGAGGACCGGTGGGTGCAAGTCGGAGTGCGGTCCTGGAACAGATTCTTTAGCCCCCTCAACCTCATGGTTGATTTTGGAAGCAGAAATGATTCCAAGGCCTATGGGTTCAGCCTCTAAAGGTGGTGGGATGAGGTACGACAGTCATAAACTTGGGGGCACTCTTTCCCATGGTGTGCATTAAGGAAAAGAATGCTAAACACCTCTTTTGAACCACAGGTTTCAGGTCAATCAGAGTCAGAGTTTCCCACTTTAAGAATGTCTCCCATCAGTGGAATCAGCTCCTGCTACCAAGGGAGTGTCCTTAATAGGCTTTCTCCCAGGGCTGTCCCATTGGTACAGCCTTTTACGGTTTGTAGTCGATGAGGGAGCAGGGGATTCCTACGGCTGCAAGAATCAGGGCCCAGTAGAGCAGGGGTGCTCTTATCAGCCGCCCCGGGAACAGGAGCGCCGGGCAGAGAGGTTGCAGGGCTCCAGGGCTTCCCAGCCTCAGGTCTTCTCTTTCTTGTGTGTCTCGTTGGGAATGCAGGTCCCGGATTGCTTCTTGGAAGTCGCCAGCTTGACGCTACAGGAGTTCTTCAGGGCTGTCTCCGCAGGCAAAGACTCAGATCCTTCCTGGAAGAAACCCATTTATAAAATTATTTCCAAGCTGGACAGTGACATCCCAGAGATATTCAAATCTCCCAGCTATCCCCAGGAGCTGCTTCGGAACGAAGATCCCACAGAGCGAGGAGCAGCTGGCCAGGGTTTCCTGGGTTTGTCTTAAATGGCCGCTGTGGTGATATAAAAGGGACATAAGTGCAGTCCTCCTCCCGCCCCCTCCCCCAACAAGAACTACTACCATTTCTGATCATTTTTTTCCTTTTCCCGAATCACTTAACTATAATATAGACCAAGTGTAATGGTGTGTTGGTAGCATATTGTAAAAGGAACACAACGGTGTTTTGGAATCAGAGGACTTAAATCCCCAATCTACTATTTCCAAGTATTGTGACCCTGGGACCTTGCAGGTAATCTCTGCATCTGTAAATAAATACTCTGTGAATACTCACTACACGTTAGTGTTTTCCCCCGTGGCTTTCACATAAGGTTAACTTAGTTGGTTTGTCTGTTATTGTTTTTTACAAATTGCTGGTTTTAGTTACCTATTGGTCAAGCTCCACCTAGTTGCGAGACACTTGAAAATACATTATCTTAAGCTTTTTACACCGAAAAGGAGATATTGTCTTCATTTTTTTAAAAAAGTAACCAAGCAGACTTTTTAGAAGTGACATAACTCGCCAACGTACAAGGCTAGGGCGTTTGGGTTGGTAGGGATAGTCAGACGTGTGGAGGAACCCAAGACCTTCGGGTGCCAGATTGTCTCCTGAGCACCTCACGCTGCCCGTCATGATCTTCAGCAGGCCACCTCCAGGGAGCACCCGCACGGAGGGGGCACTGCCGCCCGACAAGCCCTGCCCACACTTAGGAGTGCTTCCCCACCCAGAATGTCCTCCGATCATTCCAGGAAGCCCAACACAAACTTTCTGCTGGACTTGAGTGTTGCTGTTTGGTCACATTTGCCTGCTGAAGGGTTTATCCACTGGACAATCCAAGTTGTCTGTAGTTGACCAATTGATGCCCTCACCTCCTATGTGCAGAAGCTGCACTTCAGAATGCAAAAGCTAGGAAAGGCCCTAGGAGGTCATCCCACCCACCCTGCTTCGATCAGGAAGGAGGAAACGGAGGCCCAGACAGGAGACTGGCACAGACTGTACAAACCTCACATGATGAGTGGCACAACTGGGACAAACACAGCATCACACAGAGAAATGGCAATTCCCCCACTCCATACGGAAATTACAGCCCATGGTCCATCTTTCACAGATAAAGGAATTCATGGAACCAACATTCATTTTACTATTTTCCTGCTGGTCCAATGCAAATTGTGACTCACTCGGAGGATGTAGGCAAGTCATCTGCCAGGTCGAATAACTGTGTCTGTCTTCTAAGAGAGTCAGAATCAAGTGTTTGGAAACTCTGCCCGAGGTGTGCAGGCTGGGGTGAGGGCACACAACTCGGGCTCTGATTAAGGGGTGTCTGTGACTTTAGCTGCCTTCTTTTCCATCGACATAAAACAAGTTTTCATATTCAATTACCCACTTCCTTGACTTTTCAGGTGGGCTGGATCAGATGAGATAAAATCCCTAACTACTGCTAGATGTGTCAGCATGAAAATGTATGAAAGATGACTTTCATCTGCATTTTCATTTACTTCAAACAGCTGAGAGGAAAAACAAAACAAGCATGCTCCGCCCAAACGAATCTTTTCACTTTAAGGTTATTCTGAAGTGACCTTCAATATGTCCAGTTGCACTCAGATCACCTTTGCCCTATTTTCGCCCGCAATGTTCCCTTTACAAAAGTGAAGGAATCTGCCAAATCTAGGTTTTAAAAGTAGGCAAGCCCCGAGTACCCAGAGCAAGTAACTCAGTTATGTGTATGGAGACAGCAGAAGAGCCCCCTACCCAGAGTGATCTTGCATGGCTATTTAAGATTTTCGTGGGAAACAATTCCAAGTTCTCATGATTGTCTGATATGGAGCAGCCATTTTCTGTCCCAAACCTGAAATTCATTACTGTGTTTGTGAAAGACTGAGCCAAGCCACCTCCGGAGCCGTGAACCTTGTCCCAGGGACCAATTAGGTGAAATGTACAAACTCAAATGGAAAACATTTGTGTCCTGCAGTCTTTCCAGGAACTGTTTTCGAACCACTGAGCTAAACACAGAAGAATGTATAAATATATATGCTGTGCCAACAGAAGTCTGTTTCATTATATTTTTCTGTTTCTACCAAGTATATCTCTTTCTGCTGGGAACACATTCTGAGTGTAAGCTGAGCTGGTTATTGTTCTTTTAGCAGCCATTACATTGCCAAGGTCTGGTCATTCTTTCCATTAAGATATATGTGGGCATCATTCTCTCCCAAATTAGACATATTCAGAGTCTGGTCGAATACTGCATAATTGTCTAATACTTCAACGGTGAGCAGTGGGGCCTGGACTGTGTTTTATGATGATGGCACTATTTAGGAGTTAATGCCCAGTTATTAATTAAAAGCAGGCAGTTAAGTGACATTCCATGCAGGAAAAGGTTTATTAAGAACCTTATTTCAAACACTAGTGGCCCAGTGCATGAATTTGTGCACATTGAAAAGAAATTAATTAGAAGAAATATTTTAATATCGCTATTCACCCTTTCTTATAATAGAAGCGTCAACAAAATTCATGATCGACAATGACAGATGGAAACACAGGCATGTGATTGGTGCCAGTGAGAGCTTTATATGTATTGTGAATGCGCAAGTCAACTTAGCCTTTTATAGATATTGAATAAACTTGCTTAATTAGACCTGCTTTCTGATTTAGCTAAACTTTTTCCAACCCAGTGAAGCACCCCAACTTCTTTTTCAGGTAATTGTCAGCAACACAGCAGTAAATATCAACACGAAGCAGATTATTATTGTAGATCACGCAGGGAGAACAAAGGGTAAAATATTTACCTGCAGCAGTGTTTGACTATATTTTGCGCAGTAAGAAAACCTGAAGTCATTTTCAAGGTCCACCATTTCTTACTTCTTTTCAGTCGGGTCAAGTTTCTAAGCTTCCTGAATCTCTGTTTTCCGGCGAATGAAAAGAAGATAGGATTCCACCAAGTCTCCTATCTACCTACTCCAGGACTTCTGTGAGGATCAAATGAGATGAGGCCCGGGAAAACATTTCACAGACATTTGGTTAAAGTGTGAAATGTTTGCACCTGGCTATAAAGCAAGTCGTTGCTAAGGACAGGAAGCCGGACGTTACTATGTGACGTCATTACCCAGACGGACACTTAGCATATTAACCTTTTATATAATAGACTAGAGGCCTGGTGCACAAAAATTTGTGCACTTGGGGGTAGGGGGTCCCTCAGCCCGGCCTGTGCCCTCTCGCAGTTTGGGACCCCTCGGGGGTGACCACTTGCTGGCTTAGGCCTGCTCCCCGGGGGATTGGGCCTAAGATGGCAATCAGACATCCCTCTGGCAGCCCAGCAGCCCTCGGGGGATGTCCACTTGCCAGCGGGTAGCAGACCTAAGCTGCAGTCAGACATCCTTAGCGCTGCTGAGGAGGCAGGAGAGGCTCTCACCACCACTGCTGTACTGGCAGCCATCAGCCTGGCTTGTGGCTGAGTAGAGCTCCCCCCTGTGAGAGCGCACTGACCACCAGAGGGCAGCTCCTGCATTGAGCATCTGCCCCCTCGTGGTCAGTGTTTGTCATAGTGACCAGTCATTCCCAGTTGTTCTGCTGTTAGGGTCAGTTTGCATATTACCCTTTTACTATATAGGATAGAGGCCTGGTGCACGGGTGAGGGCTGGCTGGTTTGCCCTGAAGGGTGTCCCGGATCAGGGTGGGGGTCCCGCTTGGGTGCCTGGCCAGCCTGGGTGAGGGGGCTGATGGCTGTTTGCAGCTGGTCACACCCCCTTCTGGGTGGGGGTCCCCACTGGGGTGCCTGGCCAGTCTGGGTGAGGAGCTGAGGGCCGTTTTCAGGCTGGCGGGAGACTGAAGCTCCCAGTCTCTTTTTTTTTTCTGTTTTATTTTTATTTTGGAACTTATTTAGCTTCTATAGCTGTCACTGGAGCTGAGAGCTGGCTCCAGCTCTGAGGCCCGGCTCCAGCTCTGAGGCCTTGGCTGGCTGAAAGCAGGTATCTGGGTTTGTTTAGCTTCTATAATTGAAACTGTGTTGCCATCACTGGTGCTCTAAGCTCTGAGGCTATGGCTGGCTGAAAGCAGGTATCTGGGGTTTGTTAAGCTTCTATAATTGAAACATTGTTGCTTCCGGAGCTCAGAGCTGGGCTGCGGCAGGCGGGGAACCCTGGCTTCCTCCATCACTGGGGCAAGCAAACCTCATGTTCGCTTCAGCTGTGTGGCCGCCGGCCGCCATCTTTGTTGGCAGTGAATTTGCATATCCTGCTGATTAGCCAATGGGAAGTGTAGCGGAGGTATGGTTAATTACCATGTTTGTCTATTATTAGATAGGATGGTTTCATACAGTATACACAGCTCCAAATTGGATTCATACAGCAAAGAGGCCAAAGGTACCTCCTGGACGTAGAAACCATTTCCTTTCCATCAGAGAAAAGGCAAAGCAGAAATGGCAGAGATAACACAGCACTCGTCAGTAAACACAGCCCCACATTATATGAAGGTCCTTTTAAAAAAAGTTGTTTTCAATAACAACTTAAGTAATTTAAAGTAAGACCTCCATAACATAATTTTATGTGTGTGTTTAGAAAATATTTCCTTTAAAAAATCTTTATGAAGTTTGCTAAAGATTTGGTAACCAGTTTCCTGGATGAGCTCCTATATGTTTTAAATTTTCATAATCTTTGTTTCTAGCTTTTCTCTATAGTTTTGATCCTCAGCTCTATAAAGCAGATCATTCATTCAAAAAAAAAGAGAAATTTAAAAAATCCTTTTATGTTTTTACACAAACTCTATTAGGCATTTGCATAAATTCCACATAGAACAAGATCATTTTTTCAGGACTGAGAAAATTGGAAAAGATAATGAGACAGAATGATGGCTGATAGAGAAATAAAGCACACACTGGGCCCTAGCTGGTTTGACTCAGTGGATAGACGTTGGCCTGAGGACTGAAAGGTCCTGGGTTCGAATCTGGTCAAGGGCACATACATGGGTTGCAGGCTGATCCCCAGTAGGGAGCGTGCAGGAGGCAGCCAATTAATGATTTGCTCTCATCATTGATGTTACTATCTCTTTCTCCCTTTCCCTTCCTCTCTGAAATCAATAAATATATATTTTTAATAAGTTATGGTTCTATCAGGCTGATGATTAAATTATGCTCAGGGGGGAAAATTTGTGACAATATGGCAAATATAATATCTCTTAGAGTATAAAAATATTCTTGGTCAGCATTAAGTATGTACAATATACACTGGAAAGAATGAACTCTGATGACCTATTTCACAGCATTAATAATGCAATCTATCTCTCTGAGGTAGATCATGGTACCTACACTGTATGTACTAAGTGCTCAACTGTGGAAAAAGAGAACTCATGAAAAGAATGTACTCCAGGAGTAGATAATTCCTATAGATCAAGAAGCTCTTTCAGACTATATAAACCTAAATAAATGTAACCAAGTGCCCAGGAGTTGAATGCTCAGTCATATCTTAAACTCCCAGGTTGTTAGCCTCAAGAGGAAGGAAATGTCTGCCGAAATGGAATCAGCAGAGGGACATCTGTCCCAAACCTCCCCAGTTTCACATGTCCTTTCACATGTCCATCTACTCACTGAGGAGTCTGCCTTCTCTTTCACCAAGAATCTCCTGGGGTTATGTTGTTTCTCACAATCTCTCTCCTTCAGGCTCACAAACTTTTGTTTTGTCATTTCCAAATTCACCAGAGTCAACCCTCAAACAAACGTCATGTCCTAGTCTTCCCTTAAAAAACCCTTTCTCTCCCCATATATACTGATTTTTGCAGTTCAGACTCCTATCTCCTCGAACACTGCTTCTGGCCTGGAAATGTAGCCTTAGGCAAGAATGTGTGTCTGTGCTCAGTCATCTCCACTTTAGCCTCAGTTATCTGATTTGCTGCCTGTACGCTCACCCCTCACTTTCT